AACAAAAATCCTTCAACGTGCTTAATGGCTTAAGAACTTAAGCCCATATGCTAGATCAGTGACAAGAAGGGCCTATGACTTATAACATCTCAATCATTATCCTTTTGGACGTCCATAAAGTTCTTAACTCAAGGTCTTAACCCTTTAAGACCTTCCTACTTCATACATGGGATAACCAAATCCATTGGGACCTCATTTTTCTTACTTAAGACCTCTCATATGGTCTGAAAGGACAACTTATCTTAACCAAAACGCATCATTCATCATATTGTGGTTTTTGGGACAAGAAATGGTGTCACAACTTCACAACACTTAGATCTACACAAAATAGATGTCAAGCAAGACGCTTTATACCTTTAGGAGCTCTTGAACCACCAGAAAACTCCAGATCTACACACTGGCATTCTTCCTCTACTCACTAGATGCAACACCTTCTCAAAATACTCCAAGTTCACTTTAATAGCTCACGCACTCAAGAAGTTGGCTAGGGTTTGGGGGAAACGGATGTAAATAGTGGAGGCTAAGGTAAAGGAGGGTTATGAGCTCTTAAATTTGTTTAAATAGCCTCCACACCTGAAATATTAGGGTTTCTAGATGATAGACGTACGTTGGGCGTACATCCTATACGCTGGGCGTACGTCGAGAGACTCCACGTTCAATTTCCTTCATATGTTGGGCGTAACCCAACTTACGTTGGGCGTACCCAGCCAAACACGTGTATGCATGCTTAGCATGCATGAGACCTCTTTGCCAACTTTTCCCTTGGGGACCATTGATGCCAATAACTTCAAATTATAATATCTCCTTTATCCTAAGTCTGTTCCCGACGAACTTTATATCCACATAAAGGTGACGAGAAGCCCTAAGCTTCTAGCAACACACCCCGGTCCAAAACCTTCTCGAATGAAACCCATTTCCCATAAATGACTGAAACGCCCTTACTCTTGATCTCGTGAATCCATAAATAAATACTTTTAGAATGGGGCGTTACAAATTTGATGTTTAACAATAAAGAGTATAAGGATAGATTACAAAAAGTACGAGTGTTTCCATCTTCATCCTTCAAAATGACTTTGATTCTAACCTCTACGATTGCTCATACAATACCCAACGCTTCCTTCAAATAGAATACATCTTACAAGTAACCTACACAAGGTTGGAAATCACTATTCATCAAACGCAAGAGTCTTCATTGAGGTGTAGGTGAAAGCAGGTGTAACACCCTAAATTCCAGAGGTGCTGTTGAAGGGATTAAATTGTAAATTAAGGAAAGGGACTCGCCGAGTCGGCGGCTTGTACTCGACGAGTTGGTGCTGAAGGGAGAAAACCCTAATCCCGGAGGTTGTGCCCTATATAAAGCACATTATAACCCACCCTCAGCCTCTTGCTACCCTTTTGAGATCCATAAGCCATAATTTCGTTTATGAGAAGATTTGGAAGCAAATTGGAGTGATTTATGAAGGGATCTTGGAGATCAAGAAGCTTGGATCAAGGAGACTTGAAGAGATCCGGATTATACATCAGTGGGAGATCATTTTAGAGGTAAGGAATCATTATCCTTGGCCTTCTCCTTTTTAGTTCCATTTCTTGGAGTTTTAGGGTTTGGTTGGAGAAATATTGATGAGATCTTGAAGCATGAGTTAGATCTGGAGTTGACACTCCAGATCCAATATCTATATGGATCATTGATGCAGAAAGCCTTTCTAGTTTTTATGCAAAAGCCCTTCCCCAAGAGTTAAGTCCCTTTCTAGCTTGGTTTTTGGTATTATGGGGCAAGAAGCAAGTAAAGGTGGCAGCTTTATGTTGCTAATGGACCCTAGAGACCCAGATCTATTGTTTGGAGCAAAGGAGTAGCTCTTTGACTCGAGATTATGAGAATGCACGTATGGACTCGGTGAGTCTGGGAGATGACTCGGCGAGTCGGGCTAGAGATCAGATATTGAGTCGCGTAGTAACTGAGTGAGTTGCATGGGTGACCCTGCAAGTCTTATGATGATGAGCTTGTAATCGACAAGTTGGAAGAACAACACGACGAGTCTATTGAAGATTGTCGTGAACTCGGAAAATCTGTTCTTGGACTTGACGATTCTGCTCACAGAACCTAACCTTTTTCAGTTAAAGCCTTGGATTAGTGATTCGGTTGGGGACTTAGTGAGTTGGTCAAGATGGAACTCAGAAATCATTGGACTCGACGAGTCTTGAGGTGACTCGGCGAGTTAAGTTGTGCTATGAGAGTTTTCTGGATATGAGAACTCGGCGGGTCGACGGGTTGACTCGGCGAGTAGAGTCAATCAGGAAGGTTGACTTTGACCTTGACCTTCAGGGGTATTATGGTAATTTGGATATTTATGTCAATGATTTTTGATGGATGTAGGTGTTGGAGTTTGAGGCGGTGCTTCTGGATTATGCTCTTGTGATTCGGTTCGGCAGTTGCAAGGTGAGTTATCCTCACTATACTAAGGGGTCTAAGGCACCAAGGGCGGCCCATTAGATTGGATATCCTAATAGTCATTGATATGTTTAGTTGAGTTGGTAATGTATGCCAGTTGATATGCTAGCCGGGTAGAACTGTAGGACTGCCTGTGATATTGATTGATTACCTGTATGTGCATTTATCTGTTACATGTTGACATGTTGTGTGGGGTGGGTTGAGGTTGTACTGCTCTGTGCGGTAGCCAACAAACCCGAGAGTATTCCAGATATGAGCTGAGGGCCCGGTAGGCATTCTAGACTCATACTGAGGACTCGAGAGCATTCTAGATACGAGCTGAGGGCCCGGTAGCATTCTAGACTCGTACTGAGGGCTCAATGGCATTCCAGATACGAGCTGAGGGCCCGGTAGGCATTCCAGACTCGTACTGAGGGCCCAGGGGTAGTCCAGCTTGTAAAGTATATGGACCCAGTGCATGCTGTTCTGTTTTATTGATATTCTATGCTAATGTTGATATTGCTATGTGGACTGTATGTGTATCGGTATTTTGGGGGTATCTCATTAAGCTTTCAGGCTTACAGTTTCAGTTTATTGTTTCAGGTACCTCAGGGGATCGCGACAAGGGCAAGACGTGATCGTACCGCTCCTCCTATTATGTCATTTTTTGGGAAAAGACTCTGATAATCAATGTTTTGAAAACAAAATTGTAATATATTGATGAACTTGACATGTTTTTAAAAGTTTAATTTGGTTTGAAATTTTGGATGTTACAGTAGGCGTATCGTCTATGGTAGTTATGGTGTAGGCTATGGTTTCACTAGGTAATGTTAACGATGGTTCAGGGGAGAAGGGGTAAGTTGGCACATAGAGCGTGATTGTGGTTGTCATAGGAGGCTGATAAGGTGATGGTGGATAGAGATAACGGCAACTTGGCATCACAGTGGAACTCAATGTAAACCAAGGAACAAAGCTTAAAAAGGCGAATGATGTCGGTCAATTGAATCATTCATCTTATCATTCAAAACCTTCGGTGCATCATTTCGAGGAATTGAAAAAGAGAGAAAGAGGAAGAAGGGGTAATAAGGTAATTAAGTGGTTGCCTAAGAGAGCAAATGGAATATGAGAAGTATTAATTTAACTAATAAAAGACCCTCGAGCGTTATGACTATAAAAAAGCACCTCTTGCGTCCAAATCTCCTTAAGATCTTAACACTAAATTAGCCGTACTATAATACAATTAGTTGTACTTGAATGTAATTAGCCGTATTTGAATATAATTTTAAGCCGTTTCCAAATTTTCAAGTACGGGATACCTTTTACCCGTATTATATTAACGTTTTTCTAATAGTGAGAACAGGATTTCGACCGAGTTGCCATCTAACCAAAAAATAAATATAAATTCTTTATTTTTTGGTAATGTTGTGGTCTCTTCTATCATGGGCAATGATCAACTAGTTAAGGAGCTGTTTCTTAGCTTTACTTAAATCTTGCAACTACATGCCAAATCATAGGTAATAATCTAAAACATGTTTACAACGACATTAATGTTAATGATACTCATAGACGTGGGGGGCGGATTTATGTAAAATGGTCTCTCTCTCTCTCTCTCTCTCTCTCTCTCTCTCTCTCTCTCTCTATATATATATATATATATATATATATATATATATATATATATATACATTAAATGAATTATTTATTTATTTTAAATACAATGACATAGTATGTGTGAAATTTTTTTTGATGATTTACTTAGACTAGATATATAACAGAAAAAATATATTGCTATTTTATAACCTTAACCTTATTACTAAATATTACTATTACATATAAACCGATAATACTAACATGTGTTGACAGAATGTCATGGTTAAAACTTTTTAAGAGCAAGTAGGCAAATAAAACAATTTTACTAACGTACCCATCTCATTTGAATTGCTTGCATTAGTCAAGCACATGTGGTCCATGAACTAAAGCCATGCACTAAACAAATTGGCCCCTACCTTTCTTTGTAGGTCATGACCTTAAAAAGTGTTAATTCTCTTTTGTTTGAAATGATTGTTAAAATGATATTGGCCCCTACATCCGGCTAACATCTTTTAATTTATTAACTTATTCCTGATATATAATTATAGGATTTGGAGCTAAAGCATATACATATTATTGATATTATTGATTGTATTGGTAAAATATCCAAATATTTTAAAGAACTGTATTAATTACGAGGACAAAATCAGCAAGCCGTGTCTGGTTAGAAATGGATCTGGAACGTACGTATGAAACACCAACTATAACTATTCATATACGGTTACTCAAAGGAAACAAAAAAACAAAGAAACGGAAACGGTAATTGGGTTCAAGAGACATGAATGTGAGGATATTTGTTTATAAATCATGCATATATAGACTGAATTGAAAACAAAGTCAATACCCAAACCATACATGGAAAGACAAGTATGGTGCGTTCTTGACTCCCTCTTCTCAACTAAAATGCAATAAATTTGAAAAGAACAAGAAGCACAATAATTATAAAAAAAGAAAAAAGAAAAAAAAAAAAAAACTTAAAAACCAAGAAGGGTAAATGAATGTAGTAGTTGAAGATGGTAAATGAACTATGACAGCGAACAACTAGCACAGTAGCAGGATGATGCAGCAATAATATTAACTCGGCTTCTGCTATTGATGATGAAACTTGCATTAAGAGCATCCCCAACTAACCCCCAAAACTTCCCTTCTTCTCATCGATCTCTACGCACATTTAATTAAGAAAGAGAGAGAGATTGTTGATCAGGTGGTGGTAGAAGCATAATTGAAGGAGGCTTTAATTTGGTGGACTGTATTTGTGATCAGGTTATTAACGGTGGTTAATGACTCTGGGCTCATTTTAGCCGACGGCAAACTGCTAACTTGTATCTGAAACACTACAGTAACCAGTGAGCCTGTTGATGTCCCACCAACACAATGATCAGCAGCTACGAGATCTGTAATATTACTGCTGGTGGAAGCACCACCCTGACCCTGTGATGTAAATTCATGCCGGCCGTCGGTTGTGATGATGAAACCGGATGGGAGTAATGGAATATAGGAGGGATCTTCACCGTTCATGGCTATGTTGATTGCCGGCAAGTCAACTGGACAGTATACCACTAGTGACCCCGATGCGTCTGTACAGCTTTCTTGTAGTATTAACATGTTGTTCTGGCTTGGAGTGTAAGCCTGTACGTAATTAATTGTGTTTATTTATTAGTACTATTCGAACAAACAGCTAGCTAGTGAATATATAGTGATGGATGGGTTTATATTTTATCTATAAGTTAAGTGTTGATAATTAAGTTTAACATAGACTTTTAAATTGAATAAGTTACCCTGAGGACCGATATACAGTTCCCTGGGTGAGTCCCGTTGGCGATATGTGCTACTTCTTGTACTGGATTCTGGTTCGACAAAACATCCCACTGCATGCACCAATAAATTAAAAAATTAAAAAGGAGCCGGATATCAAATGAACGCTGAAATTAATTAATTATTTGGATGTATGTACGTACGTACGTACGTACTTACCTGAGGTCTAGTCCTTCCATCTCGAAAGAAATCAAAGACATTCTGTGGAGGAACCGGAAGCCAAATGGTGGTGGATGCGCTAAGTACCATCCCGTTTGGCTGACCTGCAGGATCGGTGGTTTTGTATAGCGTCGCCCGGACCTCAAACTGATCATTCATACCTGAAACCGATGTCCATTGATGACCATTACTAGGATTCATGCCGGAACACAAGTTCTTCACCATTCTTTGTGACAACTTCATCATGCTTCTCTTCCCAGCTGCCGATGGGATTACTGTCCATCAAATCCAACGGAATTATATATATATATAATATTATATATATATATATATATATATATTATATATATATATATATATATATATACACACACACGCGCGCGCGATTGTATGTACCTCCTCCAATATCATGAGACGAAGTGCTAGCCATCATCAAAGAAGCGCTTCTTTCGCATGCCCGTTGAAGACAAGCTAGCCATCTTCTGGCTCCAAAGGCCAAACCACTGTGGACCAAATCTCGATAAAGCCTATCAATCGGGCTTATTTCTTCTACTTCCATATGTTCCACCCATGTAACCTATATACATACGTACGTATTCAAATAAATTAAAACACCATCAATTACTCAACTTGCTAACTTCTTTATATATATATATATATATATATATATATATATATATATATATAATATATATATATTATATATATATATATATATATATATATATATATATATATAATATGGAGTTGATCGAGATTGACAAACCTTTGAATAACCATTAGGAATATCTTGGATCAAACACCCAGAAGGAAGGCGGTGTGCTTTACATCGGGAGTGGGGGTATGCATTATGCTGAGGAAGATCGTACGAAACATTGACCACCGCCCATGACCCTTGCTCAATTTGCTGAACAAACCGAAGAACATAAAACTGCCTGGTGGAAACCAGCGGGGAAAGCACCTGTAATTCTTCATACATCTAGCAAAACTTATACAAATTAAGTTTCAACCGAAAACAAGATACGATATATGAAAACAATAGGAAATCATTGAATTGAAATGTGATGTGATTTACCAATTGTAGGGAGCCACTTAGAGAACCCAATAATCTAGCTTCAAGTGCTTCAATTGTTCTTGCTCTTGACACGATGGTAGGAAACAGTTCCATCCATTTATTCTGCATGTGGCCAAATAAATTAAATTACATCAAGCTCATATGTCTGTAAAACGCAGCACTGCTAATCCGAAATACATAAGCATTGATATTTAAATAAAGGAAGATACTTAACCGAATCCACAAACATGTCCACCAATTGCAAACTGTTCATCATCACAACACCAGAAGCCTTGGATGCTTCAATTCTTACATTAGGCCTCTTCAAGTTATGATCATTAGACCGTGGGAAAACCCTCTTGTAGTTATCAAGATTAAGAACTTCTGTTTGCATCCCGTCCTTTTGACATTTTGTCCACAATGGCTCGTTGGTCTGTACAAGCTTCATCAGTTCATCAATCGCATTACTAGCAATATCAGCCATCAGAGACTTGTCCATGTCGGAAAGGTGCACGATGTTGTGAAACGGAGGGTCAGGATTGACGATGTTGCTAGATGATGCACCAATGGCGGAGCCGGTGAGAAGATCAAGGTCTAAAGAAGGACCACTGTTCATCATCACCATCCTATTCACTGGACCACCACCGTAACTACTGGCCATGGATAAGTCCAGTGAAGACATGTGATTGGGCTGCACCGGTGGGAGTTGCAACATTGGTCTACCTATGTACTTGGCCGCAATGCTCGACACTCTATCCAGCTGTAAAATTACGAAATTACCCGGTAAAACAATTTTATCTCTCCAGTTTTTTCCGAAACATAATAATTAAGAGCACATGGAACCCATGGCATCATGTACAAGAATTCAAGGAGATAACAAGAAGCCAAAAATATATGCGAAAACTACAAGTGCTAGATTATCGCATGCACCCAAATCATCATTCAATTTAATTTTAAGAAAAAAGAGTACATACCAAACCTTACTATATTATCATGCACGTCAAGTTAATTAAATATGGAACAAATGTAAAAGAGGAACTCATCGATTGATCACTTCTTACCTCTTCTTTCAACTGAGCATTTTCGAAACGAAGTTTTTGTTCATCAAAATAACAATCTTCCCCAATCGGAGGACCACCGCATGTTGGGCACACCAAATTCTTCAAGGCCTCTCGTATCACAATGTTTTCGCATCGTATCTTGTCGTTCTCAGCCCTCAATGCACAGTTGTCTGCCCGTTCATGTTGCGCCTATATACACAAAAGTTGGAAATTATATATGTATGTGTGTATATATATATATATATATACACACACGTAGTCGCTGAGAGAGCTAGCGATGCCGGACCCTAAAAGGTGTGTTTGAAACCTTTAAAAATAAAGAAAAACTTAAACGAAAAAAAATCGGCACTCTTAGTAACCTTTTTGGCTTCGTACACAATCAACCAGAAAGTGTAAAGATAAAATACCTTCATCTGGGTTCTTCTATTTTGAAACCAAAACTTAATCTGTCGAGGTGCCAGACCCAACTCTCTGCTTAACTGCATTCTTGTTTTCTCATCTGGGTGTGGGCAATCTTTAAAAGTTCTAAAATTTTCCAACAAAATATAACAAGCTGATTAAGAATTGGTGTTACTTAATTTGCTGAAAAAATCAAGGAGGCAAGAGGATCTTACGATTCAAGAATCTGAATCTGAAGAGCAGTATGACGGTGGTAACGTTTCTTCTTATCAGAGGAATCATGGTGACTACCACTGGCGGAGCCATCTCCTTCTCCTCCTGCACCGTACTCCATCGCCTCTTGTCACCCCGACAAGAGGTCTTCGGACGATATGATGTTAGTGATTATACTAAGAACACTAAACAA